CAGCAGTGTTGAAAAGGCAACTTGTGAAGTCTTGACTATTTCTGCTAAAAGGAAAAGTCCCTTGGGAGGCACTTAGTAGGAGGGGGAGGAGTATCCGGTCTGGGAAAGAAACATCTCTCATCCCTGTTGCTTTAGAAGGGAGAGGAGAGACCCGTGTTTTGGTGCAGCATGTGAAGCCTAGAAAGTAAATGAGATGTAAAAGTGGCTTAAAAGAAAGAGTCTCTGAAATTATGATGGATGGTGTGGGGGAGACTTGAGTTGCAAGCCTGAGGAACTGGTTGAACCAGAACTTTTGGAATTAAAGTGTTGGGATTTACCTCTACTGTCAAAGCTGTGACTGGTCACCCTCAATTCTGCTGAGCAACCCTGCTGAAGATGACTGCTCCCTGGCCCAGGATGGGAGTCCTTAATGCAGGCGCTGTGAAGTGTGCCAGATGGCAGATGTCTCCACCTGCTTTTGCAGGCTCTTGCGTAGATTCCCCAAAATATCCACTGGGGTTAGGTACACTCCCCACCCCCTTAAAAATAGTTGTGTGTGGATACTTGCGTTCATGGGCGGGGAGGAACGTTCCTTCCTTTTGGAAGGAAGTGAATGGGAATAATATAAAAGGAACTGGAATGGTTGGTTGTCTGTAATGTTATAATACTAGTGAATCAGCATTTTTTTTCTTTTTTTTTTTTTACAAATTGTCTGTTGCAATAGGTGATTCTTAGTTGAGTCTTTGTGGTCGCCTTACTCTAATCCATATAATAGCACAAATAATCTCTTGAAAAATTCCCCTCAAAGTTTGCATTTGGGTTAACTGCTGTGGGAGGTCACCACTGCTGGCCTTGGAGTTCTGCAAGGTCAGGGTTAAAGTCAGCAGCATCGTCGTAGTGCTCCAGTAAGGGCTGAGGGGGTTTGTTACTGACTTTAAGGCTTAGTGTTTGAGGGAGCTGCAGTGGATGCCCAGGAGGTATTTGAGTGTGTGGGTGAGTCAGGCTACTATCTTACTGTTTTCTTTATGAAAAGAAACTGAAACTGTGTGATCAAATTGGATGCTGCTTTTTGTTTCTGCCTGTGTATAGGAGAAAAAAAAACAACAAAAAACCGACCCCAAAACCCCACTGGAGCTCTAAGGAGGACGGTGTCTCTCTGAGGACCAGAGCAGCAGAAGCATTTAGAGGGATGTTGCCAGAAATCAGAATTTGCTAAGGAGTTTGTGGGGTGTACCTGTGGGGTGTACCTGTGTGGTGAAGTACCGCAAGCCACATGTACTTCTCTGAGCCAGAACAAGCAAGGTGGGGATTGCCCCAGTGTCCAGTTTTCAGGGGGCTGTGTTTTGTGTTACTCTGTGTACTTGCAATATTGTAAGAGTGCTGAATTGGTGCAAAGTAGATAAGCGTTGATGAGGTGCGTGTTTGAGCTAGGATTTTGTTTGTTTTGGTCTACTTCCAGCAAAAGGTGCAGGCTGCATTTCTTCAGGTCTGTGAAAAGTCATTTTTTCAATTAGTAGTATTTTTCTGAAGGTGCTACTTGTAGTCTTTCTCCCTTAAAATGTGTAAATTAGGGGATTCGGGTTTAATAATTGTCAGATATTTCACTAAAATTTTTTCAGATACCTGCCTCTGTGTGTGTGCTACTGGCTAATGTATATTTCAAAGCACGTAATGATAGACATTATAAACCAATGCAAAATCAGCTTAAACTTACCAGCTATATTTTTTTACTCCCTTTCGAAAAGATGGATGTTGTGGGAAGGTTTCATGCTTTTTTTAGCAGACCTGCAGGCCAACGTGTATATGAAGAGCTTGGTAAGGCTGTGAATGCACAACCTGTGCCCGGTGGGGGAAGGTGGGGTCCCCTGAGATGCCTAAACGTGTGGTTGGGCTAATTGCAGAGGACTTCTGCTGACCCCTGCCTGGCTTACCCTCAGCGCTTTCTTTCCCCGGAGCGTGCAGCACCATAACCTGAAGTCACTAAAATTACACATGAGCTTCTTCTGAAAGAACTTCACTTTGAAACAAACCCCATCTGAGGTAAATTTTGTGGATTTACGTGATCCTCAACCCAATTCCAGTGTGATTGGGTTCAGGACGTTGCTTTGAAGTGTGTTTTGTCAGTTATTGCCTTCTAGGTTCTGAGAGGTGCCAGCTGCTAATCAGCTGACCAGTGACATTTGGATTAGGAATTAAACTATTTCTCCTCTTGGAATGAGACATGTGATTTTTTTTTTTCTTTCCCCCCCCATTGCTTTTCATGTGTACCTTGTGAGGCAGGGCATGTACACTGTGCTCTGCACTGCTAGGTAGGATATTGGCTCCTCTATGTTTTAGTAGTCGTTTTTTTGAGTGTACAAGACAGGCAAACTGATGAAGAATCCCAAGTGAGTTATTTGGTAAATGTCAAGGTATCTCAAGTGCTTTGGTGCTTTTAGCAGCAGAGTGTGCGCCATGTCACTGGATGTAATCAGGAAGGAAAAGAGGGTGTTAGTGGGTTTAACTGTGTAAGAAGTTGTATAGCCCAGAGCCTCACATCATCTAGCCTCGCTTGTAAGCTTTACGCAACGTGTCAGGGAATGGGTCTGGGATTGTACATGGGGGTGGCTAGTTTCTTGCATAACAACTGTAGTAGTTAAAAGCATATTTAATGCTAGCGTTAGCCCAGTGCAGTCATGGGAGGATGAGTTTTCTGCAGTCGTCTTCCCAGGAAGGAGCTTTTCATGTTAAAACAAAATAGTTTCTAATTCAAGCGGTCCTGCAATAGCCTTATGAAGTTGTCAATTACTTGGTTTAAGAAAGCTTTGTTTTGGGATTCTGGCTGGGAAAAATATGGGGTTTAACTATCCAACTCTGGTCTTGCAGAAG